ATTTAATAATATTAGCATTATTTACCAATTTTCTTTAAATTTTTATATTTGTAGTGTCCTGATGGCTCAATCTGTCAAAATAGCAATTGTACTTGCCCTAATGGTAGAAAACTTTGTAATGGTTAATGTGTAGATACTACTACTGATAAATCAAATTGCAGAGGATGTGGAACTGCTGTATGTATTCTTTCTATAATTTAATAATATTAGCATTATTTACTAATTTTCTTTAAATATTTATATTTGTAGTGTCCTGATGGCTCAATCTGTCAAAATAGCAATTGTACTTGCTCTAGTGGTGGAAAATCTTGTAACAGTCAATGTGTAGGCATTCAAACTGACATGTATTCTTTTCTATAATTTAATAATATTATTATTATTTTCTAAGTTTCACATTTGCAGTGCCTTGAAGGAGATCTATGTAACTTTGACATAATAGTATGTATTCATTTCTATAATTTATCAATATTATTACTACTTCCTAATTTTTTTAAACATTTACATTACAGCCACAGACCTGTATAACCTGTCAAAATGGAAGTTGCACCTGTATTCTATCTGGCATACCATCATCATGCGATTGTCATAACATAGATAGTCTTTTATATTGCTGTAGTCTTGGATGTGTTTGTGGTACAGGCTCATACCTTTGAAATTACATATCTGGACATTATTTAGAAAATTTTTACATATAAATTTAGTTAGTATGACCTGTTGTAATAATGCTTGCAGCAGTGTGTTTCTAGAACCTATTATAGAGTAATCATATATTTTATATACAGTAATAGCATGATAAGAAGTAGTTTTTTTATAGCTAAACTAGAACATGAACATATAGGTGGCTTCACCACCTTGAATTAAAAACAAACAATTTATATTTGTTAACTAACTTGTACTTACATTTTAATCTTCTTAATTAAACAAATTTAGAAGCAGACCGGTTTTGAACCTAAGTCTAGATTATCTTGAATCGAACTTTAAATCATTAACCCTTGATTAAAATCATCGCAGTTCGCAACGCGATGTATTTTTGATTATATTTCACATAAAAAATCACTTAATTGTGCGATTATGCGCAATAATTTAAATATAGAAATAAGTAATTCATAAAATATTATAGTAATTTGCACCGAAGAAAAAAAATGCTAATTGGTTAACCGAACTAAATTTTTAAAGCCAACCAGCTTCACCCGATTATGATAGTGGGTTTTCCAACATTCAAGCATAAAGAACTTTTGAAACAATACACGGTATTAAAGTTTTATTTAAGTACTGGGATACCTACTGTTGTTAGTCGAAATTATTTAGAAATTTAAGCGTTTAGACAAATTAAATTTAGACAATTTTGACTTTGTCATTTTTTAACAAATCTTTATTAAAAAATAAATAAAACTTAATTTAGACATTTTGACAAAATTAATTTAGAAAAATTTTGACATTGGCAAAAACAATTTTGACTAACAACATTAGAGATACCTAATAAAATTTTTGCAGATCCCTAATTAGTCTTTATTAGAATATGATAATATAGGCAGCTTCGCCACCTTGAATTAATAACAAAATATTTATATTAGCTAACTAACTTGTACTTACATCATAATCTTCTTACTTAAACAAAATTTGAAGCAGAGCAGACGGTTTTGAACCTATTAAAACCTTGATTAAAATTATCGCAGTTCGCAATGCGATGTTTCACATAAAAATTACCCGACTGTGCGATTGTGCGCAACAATTTTAGAATCAAGTAAATATAGAAATAAATAATTCATAAAATATTAAACTTAAATCAAACATTTGAATAAAAAATCATTTCAAAATAGTGCAAACGGATGAAAATCAGGAAAAACATATTGGCTAAGCTATACATAATTTGATCTAAAAAATACATCATTTTGCAAACCGTGATAATATTTGTCAATTTTTCTCCTTCCTCTCTAAATGCTAAATGAAGTATTAATTTCAAGTGGCCTTAGCAAAATTAAATCGGAAAATTATGAGTAATTAT